CCCCCCCTTTTCCGCCTTTTTGGGATTTGGGGAACCCTTTTTCCACCTCCCCCCCCCCCCCCCCATTCGCTCCTCTCCAACTCCCCTTCCCCCTCTCCCCTTAGGGCGCGCCGCGCCGCGGCTGCACGCTGCTCTGCTCTTCTCCCTCAGCCCGTGGCAGCTGCGGCGCAAGACGCGGGCGCTCGAGGGCGGCACCGCAGGCGCTGCGGAGGGCGACGCCGCGGATCCGATGCCGCCGGCCGCGTGGGAGAGGGAGGCGGCGGAGCTAGCGGCGGCGGCGGCGGGGGGAGGGGGAGGGGCCGCCGATTGCACGCCCGCGGGCTGCGGGGCGGGCGGCTTCACGGCTTGCGAGGGCGTCGCGCTGGGCGGGGTGGCTGACGGCGCGTGCGTGCTCCTGACTGGCGCGTACCGGCACGCTGGTTTGTCTTCTGTCATCTCGGCGCATCTCGGCGCATCTCGGCGCATCTCGGAGCCTAGGCGCCACCGGCACGCTGGGTCCGCGCCTGCTCGCGTCGCTGCTCGCCGACGGCTGGCCGGTGGTCGCGGTGCTGCTGCGAGGCGAGGCTCGGCGCGTCGCCACCGCGGGAATCGGCAGTGACGACCGCGTGCGCCTCTTCCGCGCCGACCTCGCCACACCCGGCCTCGGCCTCGCCCCGGCCGACCGCGCGGTGCCCGGGCCCGCTCGACGAGCGCGCGGCTCCTCTCGGCTCCTCTCGGCCCATCTCGGCTCCTCTCGGAGGCTAGGCGCTCAGCCGGCCCGTCGCCCCTAGATGCGGTTCCACACCTCCCCGTACCTCCCCGTATCTCGAGGCCTGCTAGCGGGCTGTCTCCGGCTGTGTTGCAGCCGTGCTCACTGGACTCGCAGCCCGTGTACTCGTGCGATGCTCCAGCACACGGCGCGATACCGCCCTCCCCGCCCCGACTCTGCTGCGTTCGCGACGCTGGCTCGACGCGCGGTCACGTCCAGGACATGTCCAAGACATGTCCCGGACATGTCCCGCAGGCTAGACGTGCGCGCGGTCGTGCACAGCGCCGCCGCTCTCGACCTCGGCCGGCCGTACGCCGCGCTGCGCGCAGCCAATGTCGGCGCCACCGCGGCGCTGGTTGACCTCGTCAGCCGCGCCGGCCGGCCGCCCCCCCTCTTCCTCTTCGTCTCCACGCTGTCCGTCATTCCGGTGGCGTCCGCCGCCGCCGCCGCGGGCTGGCGGGCCGAGTCGGGCGAGGAGCTCGTGCCGCCGGCGTGCGCTGCGGCGCTCGAGACGGGCTACGCGCAGAGCAAGCTGCCCGCGGCGCGTGTGGACATGCCCGTGACACGTGTCCATGACATGTCCGAGACATGTCCCGTAGGCAAGCTGCTCGCGGAGCACTTGCTCGCGGCCGCCGCCTCGTGCGGCCGCATCCGACTCATCATCGCGCGCCTCGGCCTCCTCGGCCCCGCCGCAGCCGCCTCCACCAGCGCCACCGCCGCTTCCACCAGCGCCACCGCCGCCTCCGCTTCCCTCGCCGCTACCGCCGCCCCCGCTTCCACCGCCTCCACCGCCTCAGCCGCCTCCACCGCCAGCCCCTCCTCCACTCTCTCCGCCGCTTCATCCGCCACCGCCGCCGACTCCGCCGTCGCCGTTTCCTCCACCGCCTCCGCTGCAGACGCCTCCGCGCTGTCCACCGCCGCCGCCGCAGCCGACGGGCGGTCGCAGCTACGCGATTGGCTGTCGCTGCTGCTGTGCGCCGTGCGCGCGACGGGCGCCAGCCCCGCAGGCATCGCATCGGGAGGCAGGTCAGCCTCGGCTAATCTCGGGGCAATCTCGGGGCGATCTCGGGCGATCTCGGGTCGTCTCGGCCAATGGCATCGCCTCCGAGTCAGGTCCGTCGCCGTTCTGCCGGTGGACGTGGCGGCGGCGCGGCTCGCCGAGCTCGCCGCCGGGGGCGCCGCCGCGGGCTCGGCCGTCTCCGGGGCTGAGGCCACCGACGCGCCGGTGCGGGTGCGTCACTTGGACGCCGCGGCGTTCGGCCTCGCGGCGCTGCCTCTCGCGGCGCTGCTCGACGAGGCGACTGGCGGCGCGGCGCGGGTCGAGATGCCGTACAGCTCGTGGCGACGCGCCGTCGCGGCGGCCGGCCCGCCCGCCTCCCTCGCGCTCGCGGCGCTGCCTCCGCCGGGGCGAGGCGGGGAGCTGCGCTTGCCCGCGGGGGCGCGCCGGCGGCTGCGCCAGATCACCGCACTCGAGCGCGCAGCGGCGGGCGGGGCTGCGACGGGAGAGGCGGCGGGCAAGGCGACCGGGTAGGGCTCAGCACGGCCAGAATCGCCAACGTCTGCGGCGCGTGCGCGCGCCTCGGCGGCGCCGCCGACGTGCCGCTGCGCCTCTTGCGCAGCGCGCTGGGCGGCGCCAGCTTCGGCGCCACCGACCTTGGCGAGATTGCGCGGGCGGTCGGCGTGATGGTGGCGGCGACGGCGGAGGGCGCGGCGCCACCGCCGCTCGCGTTCGAGGTGGCGCCCGAGGTCTGGCGGCTCTCCCACGACAGCACGCCGACGGCAAGCTTTGACGCCCGTCGGATGGACCTGCTGCGGCCACGGCCGATGCACTCGTGCAGCTTGGTGCAAGCCTCAACTCAGATGCCGACCAGCCTGGTCGTGGCGGCCTACGAGCGGCGTTGTGTCCGGTCGACGCTTGAACGAGAGCGTCGAGCAGCGGGTCACCAGTGTGCCGCTCGAGAGCCTCCTGGGCCGGAATCCGGGCGCGCCACGTTCGACGGCTCCTGGGCCGGAATCCGGGGAGGGGTAGGCGGCGTGCGGCGGCGGAGCCTTTGCTCCACGTGGCCGACTGGGACCGGGTCTACGTGCTGACGCTGCAGGGGGCGCCGCTGCAGGTGATCCCCGTGGCGGGGAGCAGCACGCGGCGCGTCAACGGCATCTGCCTCGACGCCGACGGAGAGCACCTCTGGCTGGTGTCGGCCGAGCGGCATTCGCTCTGCCGCTTCGGCGCCGCCGCGGTGCGCCGGTCAGCGGCGCCCAGGAGGTCGGACGACGTGGCCGACTCGCTCGGCGCCCTCGAGCTGAGTTGAGCTTGGTGGGAGGTGGTGTCTGGTGAGGGGACGTCCCCTTCCCCCTTCCCCTCGAGTATCACCCTGGCTTGGCCCCCCAAAGAAATTAACAGCGAAACTCCTCGCTCACACACTGCCGCCGAATCCCGAAAGAACAACACAAAACGCGCCCCATCTTCCGACTTCCCTTGACTTGCTCATGCTCGCTGTATAGCGTGGCTCGGCGGCCCTGCTGGCCGATGCGTGGGCGCGCAGCCGGAAGTGAGGGTCGGGGCGGCCATCTGGATGGCGCGCTGCCCGGCGGGTAGGGGTGTTGGGCGGGGGAGCGCGTCGATTGGGCGGCAGCGCGCACCTACATGGCCTGGCCAGCGTCGCGCATGAGAGCGAAAGCGAGGGCTGCAGAGGCGCTTCAAGCGAGGGTGGCCTCTTCACGGGCCTCTTCACGGGGGGGGGGAGTCTTCGAACCGATGCTTTCAAGAGAGATTCCACCCACCCATGAAGCGCTTGAATACCCCCCCTTGGCGGTGTTGCGCAAGAGATATTCGTAGAAACACCCGTTCTCCGCGCGCTTCCTCCCTCCCACCCTCCCACCCATGCCCGGCCGAACCGGCGCTGGCAAAGGGCCGGACGCGCATGCAAACGCCCGAGGAACCTTGCTCAAAGCAAACGAAAAAGAATTTCGCGGGCAAACGACGAGCGCTCCCATGATCGGCCGACCAAAAGCTGGCTCGGCCGGCTCCCGGCGCGGGCACGCTTCAACGGCGCCACAGGCTGCGCCGCTCGCGCTGCCGAAAAAGATCCAAGCCGCGGCGGCGGCCGGCAAGGCGGGCGTGGTGCAGACGTGGCTCGCCGGGGATGGGCGGGCTGATGCAACGTGCGTGCGTCGCGGTGTGAGTGGCTGGACGCTCCTGCTGATCGCCGCCACCGAAGGTCACAAGCAGCTGGTAGAGGTTCTGCTGAAGCGGGGCGCGAAGCCGAACGCGCAAGACAGCATCGGCAATACGGCGCTGATGGCCGCCGCCGTCAACGGCCGCGCGCAGGTGGTCGAGACGCTGCTGCAGCACGGCGTGGAGATCAACCTTCAAGCTACGGCGCTGATGGCCGCCGCCAACGAAGGCCACGTGAAGATGGCCGAGACGCTGCTGATGCACGGCGCGGAGATCATTCCGAGCAGCCGCGATTGCACTGCGCTAATGTTGGCCGCCAACCAAGGCCACGAGCGGGTGGTCGACTTGCTTCTGCGGCACGGGGCGGAGGTCGACTTGCAGGACAGCGCCGGCTACACTGCGCTCACAGCCGCCGCCTTCTACGACCGCCCTATCGTCGTCCTCCAGCTTCTGCGGGCGGGCGCAGACATGGCGCTGCGCACTGCGGACGGCCACACAGCGCTGCAGATCACCAAGGCGAGGGGCCACACCGAGTGCGTCGCGGCTGTCAAGACGTTTCTCGGCGAGGTGGCGGCGGAGAGGCGCGACGCGGCGGCGGTCGAGGCGGGCGGCGCGGGGGCAGGCAGCGCTTCGGGCGGCGAGGGCGGCAGCAGCGGGCCTGTTCCCGAGGAGTTCGGCGAGGCGGGCGGCGCGGGGGCGGACGGCGATGCCGCCTCGGGCAAGAGGGCGGCGGCGGCACCAACTGCCGCGTCCTCTTCTGGCGGCGTGGAGAGCGGAACGGGCGAGGACGCGGTCCCCGAGGAGGTCGTGGAGGCGGCTGTGCAAGGCGACGAGGTGGTGCTGGCGTGGCTCGACGGCGGTGGGCGGGTGGACGTGACTTTCATTCGTGAGGGTGTGAGCGGCAATACGCTGCTGATGGTCGCCACCGCCTACGGCCACGAGCGGCTGGCCGTGGCGTTGCTGCAGCGTGGCGCTTCGATCAACCTTCAGAACAGCAAAGGCCGCACCGCGCTGATGCTCGCCGTCCTCAATGGCCACGGGCGGGTGGTCGAGCTGCTGCTGCAGCGTGGCGCTTCGGTCCACCTTCAGGACAGCGAAGGCGGCACCGCGCTGCTGTATGCCGCCCAGAAAGGCTACGAGCGGGTGGCCGAGCTGCTGCTGCAGCACGGGGCGGAGATCAACCTGCAGAACAGTGGCGGCCTCACCGCGCTGATGCTCGCCGCCCTCTTCGACCGCCCCGCCGTCGTGCGGCGCTTGCTGCGGGCGGGCGCCGACACGAAGCTGCGCACGGCGGCTGGACACACAGCGCTGCAGATTGCCAAGGAGAAGGGCCACACCGAGTGCGTGCGCGCCCTCGAGGAGCATGCGGCGGCCCAGAGGGCGGCAGAGAAGGCGGCGAAGGAGGCGGTGTGGGCTGCGGGGGCCGCGGAGAGGGCAGCGGAGCGGGCGGCGGCGGAGGCGGAGGCGGCGCGGCACGCCGAGGAGCTGCTGGCGGAGGTCGAGGCGGAGAAGCGCGGCAAGGGCAAGAAGGGCAAGAAGAAGAAGAAGAAGGGCGGCGGGAGCGGCGGCGCTGGGCCGTCGCAGGAGTCCGAGGCGCCGGCAGAGGAGGCAGCCGCAGCCAAGCCCGCGAAGCTGGACAGGGAGGGGTTGATCAGGCTTCTCGAGACGCTCCACGAGGAGCGGATTCGGTACGGCATCACGGCGGAGACGTCGGTCGAAGGGCTGGCGGAGGCGTTGGGAGAGGAGGCCGAGGCGGCAGGCGAAGCGAGCGAGGAGGAGACGGCAGAGGCGGGTGAGGAGGCAGCCTTGGTGGCAGCGGAGGCGCGCCGGGAGGCGGAAGCCGAGGCCGACGCTCTGGCAGCAGCAGAGGAGGAGGCGGCCGCGGCGGAGGAGGAGGCGGCCGTTGCGACGGCGCAGGCGGCAGCAGCGGCAGGTGCAGCAGCGGCAGCAGCGGCGGCGGCAGAGGCAGCAGCGGAGGCAGCCGAGGCGGCGGTCGCTTCCGCCAAGGCGAGGCGCGCGTCAGCGGCCGCCGCGAAGGCCAAGGCGGAGGCGGCCTAGCCGCGCGCAAAAAGGACGCAGTGCGCAGTGGCGACCGGGGAGGGGAGGGGGGGGGGGGGGGGGGGCCAAAAAAAGAATTCCTGGGGGGTTTGCCCGGGCCAACTGATTCGTTTCACGTTTGTGACTCAGAGCTCGGCCTCGGGGCGTGTGCAGCGCGGCAGTGTGTCGCTGTCTGTCTGCACGACGCGTGCTGTTTCTGTGGAGACACTGGAGTGTGGAGAGAAAAAGGCGCGCTGCTGGACCAAAGTGCTGCTGCGGACGCGGGTCATACTAGTAACGTAAACACGAGACGAGCGGGCGCTCAGTACAATACAAGATCGTTCTCTGGTCGACCACTTCCGCTGCTGGCTTCGGTGCCTTGTGAGATCGCGCACTCAGTCACTCACTCTTCGTCCAAGTCGATGACCTCGGCAGAGCTCGGCGCTCGCCCGGCGGCTGCTCCGCCCGCCCCCGCCCTCCTCCCCGCCGCCGGCGCGGTGCCTTCCTCCCGCTGCCCCGCCGGCTGATCCTCGTCGCTGCTCAGCTCGATCGGGTCCGTCGCCGACGCCGCCGCCCCTCCGCCGCCCCGCCCCAAACCGGCGGGCGAGGCTCTGGCGCGCGCAGCCGATGCCGGCGCCGGCGCCGCCAGCGCGGGGCGCTTGCGGCCGCTGGGAGCGGCTCCCGCCGACGCAGCCGCAGCCCTCGCCGTCGGCTGCAGCTGCGTCGGCGGCAGCGCCACCCTTGCCGCCGCCGCAGATGCCGCAGATGCGCAGGCTCGCGCGGCGGCGGCGGCGGCGGCGGCGGACGCCGCCGTCCCGAGCCCCGGCCGCAAGCTTGCGTTTGCGGCGGTCACCTCGACGAGGTCCTCGCCGGGCGCGAGGGCCGAGGAGGCGCCCCCGTGGCTCATGATAGGGCGCACCCGGCGGAAGATGTGCTGCCGCGGGTGGGTGCGACCATCGTGCAGCTGCAGCCTGCGGCTGCCTCCACCCGCCCACGCGACGCACTTGACGCACAGCTCCACTGGCACCTCGCACTGCACGCACTGCAGCCGCGGGCCCACGACGGGATCGTCGCAGCCGCTGCAGCGCACCGCGACGCCCGGCCGCACCTGGTGCTCCTCTCTCGCGTCGCGCCTCAGCCGCCGCTCGCGCAGTGCGCCGCCCTCCCCTCCGCCGCCGCCCTCCCCTCCGCCGCCGCCCCCGGCGGCTCCTCCGCCGCCGTCCTCCTCCGCCGCGTAGTCTGCGGCGCCGCGCAGGTCGGCCTCGTACTTGAGCGCAGAGTTGGGCTGGCCCTCACACCAGACAAACGGCTTGCCGCAGCCCCGCTGCTGGTTGCCGCCGTGCGCGTCGCTGCCGCAGACGAGCATGTCGCACCCCTCCATCTTTTCGACGACGCGGCGGCAGTGCGGGCAGCGCTTGCAGTGCGCCTGCTTCCACAGCTCCATCCTGCGCAGCTCGTCGAAGCGAGAGAGCGCGTCGCGCGTCGCGTCGTCGAGCGAGCCCTTGGCCTGCGCGTGCGCCGCAAGCGCCGGGCTCCACCGCTCTCCGTCGAGCCGCACCGCTGCCTGCAGGAAGGGGGCGAGCTCGTCCTGCAGGAAGCGGACCCAGCGCGCGCTCAGCCGGAGCGCCTCGGCGCACGTCGACCGCACGTGGAAGGGCTGGCGGCAGGCGCTGCAGAAGACGGCGCCGCATGCGCGCCTGGAGCACTCGAGGCGCTGCGGCCGGTCCGAGTGCGGCACGGGAGGGACGTACCACTCCTCGCAGCCCTTGCCGATGCACTGGACCGCGCCTCGCCGCGCGCGCTCGGCGCCCAGGTAGACTTCGTCGAGCTTGGATGCGAAGGTCTCGCGCTGGCTCGGAGGCAGCTGAGCGGCGTCGAGCGCCGTCAATGCCCTACGCTTGCTCACCGCGCCGCATTTCTGGTCCTTGAATGGACACGCTGGCACGAGGCCCTCGCCGAGAGACGACTCGCAACACCGCCAGCAGCACTCGGCGCACAAGCCGTGGGCGGACGACGCGCAGAGCGGAGAGAGCGGCGCGGTGTCAAAGCAGGAGGCGCACTCCTGGGTGGCGGCGGCCATGGCGCGGCCGAGGTTTCGGCGGCAATTTCCACCGAGCGCGAAGCCGGGGTGCGAATTCTTTTCAAAGAGGCATTACACTTCGCTGCCGCTCTAGACTAGCACGGTCATCCGCGGGTATCTAGTGTGCGTGTCGGTGTCTGCAGCCCTAGAGCCTAGCAGCTACGAATATTTAGGTTTGTTGCAAAAAAAAGAAAGAAAGAAAACAGACAACCCAAGGGAGGGATGGGAGGACGGCACGCCGCCACCACACAGGGATTTTAAGGAGAGGAGTGTGATGCCTCCTCCTATCTCTTTTCGCAGTCTCTCGCCGATTCTCGCTGCAACCTTCATGCCACCTCGCGGCCGTCCCACTCTCGTCGTTCTCTCCCTTGTCACTTCCTCCTCTGTCGCGTCATTCTCTTCTGCCTCGTCCTGCGCCGCCGCCGCCTGCCGTTCCCTTGTTTGTTGCAGTAAGCGGCCGGGTCCCGGGTGTAGCTCATGATTCTTTCGGCTGGAGTCGCGAATTGCTCCAGGTGGCCGATACCACAGCCCAGGTGATGGCCAAAGTGTACCTGGTGATGATCGCCACGATCGTGCTGCTCGCTTCGCTCCTCCTGCCGCTGGCGTCAGCGAGCCGTGTCGCTGTCGTTGCGGGTACGCACGGCAACGAGTTCACCGGTGTCTATGTGATTGAGCAACTCGAGCCGGCTGCTCTCCGGCGTGACTACCCTTCGCTTCGCGTCGAGACGCTCATCGCCAACCCTCGCGCCTTCTCCGCGACCCGCCGCTTCATCGACGCCGACCTCAACCGGCAGTTTGCAGGGCGGAGGTCGGAGGACACGCAGCAGCTCGAGGCGGTCCGCGCAGCCGAGATCGAGGCGCAGCTCGGTCCAAAGGGCTCCGCGCAGGCTTGCGACGTGGTGGTCGACCTGCACACGACCACGTCCAACATGGGCTGCACACTCATCGTCAACTCGTACTGCCAGCTCGCCCTCCGCGCAGCTGCCTACCTGACGCAGGCATGGGCCGGCGGCGGAGGAGAGGGTGGCGGCGGAGAGGGCGGCGGAGGCGGCGGGCCAGACCTGCCCGCCTCGGTGCACCCGCTGCGGATCTACGTGCACGACACGAGCCAGGCGCCGGCGCCGCAAGCCTCTGCTACACGCCACGCCTTGAGTTTACGACACGACATGCCATGAATACTCCCTCAAAATACCAAAAGCACAGCCCACGCCTCGCAGGCGGCGGCGCCGTACCTCTGCTCCGTCGGCCGGGCGGGTCTCACCATCGAGGTCGGGCCGACACCGACGGGCCTCCTGCGCGCGGACGCCGTCGCCACCACGCAGTCCTCGCTCTCCGCCTCCTCCTCCTCCTTGCCCCGGAGCCTTCTCGGACCCTCGTCACCGGACCCTTGTAGGCAGCGCGCGCTCGGCCTCGTCCTCCGCTTCCTCGACCTCGAGGCGAGCCGCCGCCCACACGCTACCCTGGAGACGCCCACTCTCCCCTCTCTACCCCTCCCCGCCCCACCTGCCCCCTCCCCCCCCTCCCGTCCCTCCCGCCCCCTCCCCTCCCGTCCCCTCCCACCCACCCACCCACCCGCCCACCTCACAGGCGAGCGGCCGCGCTCCGCAGCCGCCCCCGACGGTGCGAGTGTACGTCGACGCGGCGCGCGTGCCGTGGCCGGCGGCCGAGGGCGGATCGCGCCTGCCGGGCGCGCTCATCGCGCCCGGGCTGCAGGACCGCGACTTTGAGCCGCTCGCCGCCGGAGACGCGCTGTTCGTGCGGCGCAACGGGCGCGTGGTCGAGTACGACGGCGAGAGCGGCGCCGTCGTGTACCCGGTCTTTGTCAACGAGGCCGCGTACTACCACGCGCAGTCGGGCGCGGCGGGGGTGGCGCTCGCCACGCTGGCGGACTGGCCGATCGAGGACGTCACGCCGGAGTCGAGGTAGAGCCTACACTCAGTAGTACCGGTGCCAGGATATTTTGCGACGTTGGATTGTTTATAGATGCTGCATGGCCACGGCCAGGGGGGAGGCGGAGGCGGAGGCGGCAGAAGAGGAGGAGGAGGAGAGTGAGGGGGAAACGGAGGCTCCAGTGACGGCCCCCTACAAGGGCGGCGACTACGGTTCGCGCGGGAGAAGAATTGCGACCTGCGCTTGCTTGAGCCTTGACTTCGAGACTTTCGGCGGGAACAGCGTCCGCGCTCTTCTTCGGCAGGCGGCGAACCAGCCGAGTAACAAACTGTCGCACGCTCAGCACCTGCTCTGGGGGGAGGCGGGGCCCCTAGGGGGTACCCATGCGGGGGGGAGATGGGGTCCCATGGCCCGCCGCCGATTTTCCGAATTTTTTGCGCGATTTTCTACTTGTTTTCATGAGAATTTCGCGTATTGCGACCATGCTATCACGCCTTGCGACAGCCTGTCGGCGCTGCTGACCGTGCCCTGCTGCACAATTGACCACCTGCATAGCTCGCGGCCTTAGTATCCAGCATTCAGTGACAACCTGATCGTACGGCCAGTAGGAAGGTGTCCTTCCAGCGCGTGCACGCTTCTGACGCAATGCGCGTCACGAACTGCCTCGGATTGGCTGCTGGCACTCTCGAGACTATGCCTACACAGCCTCGCGCGCATGGGCAGTCAAGAGGGACCATGCATCTTCTCACGACAGCGCCGGTGCCTCTCTCTTGGACCGGCAAACGTGGTGGTCTCGTGTCACCAATGTGGGACCAGTGCGGCATCGCGCCATCGACAGCTCTGAACTGCGCCTCACCACTGACCGGGAAGGCCGCCAAGTGGGTCAGCACCGATCGCACATTGTGGCAGCAGTCAGCAGTGCATGTCTGATAGCTAGAGCAGCAGCGTCAGGGTCGCAGGGTCGGATCGTGTCAAGCCTCTCGCCCGGCGGCCGCGTGCAGACGTCGGCCTGTCTGCTGTCTGGAGTGATCTGTCGGCGGTCAGTGCGACCGATCAGGTTGAAGTTTTCTGATGATTGGAGGGTCTGTTGTTTTGTTAAATTCTTTTGGGGTATGCGTATGGGGAGGGAGTCTGTCAGTGCGGGCAGCGTGCAGGCAATCACGGGCGCTATTTTGTCGTATTCGAGCGCTCCAAATTAGACCCCTTAGTTTGAATTTAAGGAGGCTGCTTTTGCGCGGCCTTCCGCATAAAGTAACGCGCTCTTCTTGTTTCCAACGCAGCTGCCACTCAGCACATGGGACTGGCGCGGAGGCACTCCCCGAACAATTCTTCGGGTGGTGAAATTCTTCTTGGGAGGAATATAACGCACGGGCCCTCAGCGGAGCTGGGGATAGGACCGCCGCAACGTGGCGTGGAGCGGTTGAGCATCCCTCCGGGGGCCCCTCTGCGCCGGGGAGGCGTTGTTGGAGGCTAGGACGCAAGCGTCCGTCGCCCTTTTCAAACTCGGGGCCCACTCCGCTACGCTCCGACCCGAATTTGGAGGGCCTAAAAGTTTAAGGTGTTGCTGCGCAAAAGGGGTCGGACACAGGGCGCAGCTCATGCCAAGAGCTAGAAGGGGAGCTAGAGAGAACGACTACCCTGTCCCGTTATTGCGTACACCAACACCACAAAAGCTCTCTCTCTCCTGTCCTCACTCAGAGCACAGAGGGGGGTCACCACTACCGAGTCTCTCGACTAGCTGCCACGTTGCCGACCGAGAGCGGATCAGCGGATCTCCTCCTGCTCCGCAAGGAGGGTGGCCAAGGCTAAAGTCTTGCCGGAGCCGCCGGGCGCGTTGACGACTTGGAGAAGGTCGCCCTTCTACTTGTACTTGTAGAGATGCTCGAGGGGGTGCTTTGTGGGGCGGTGCGCAGCCAGGCCAGCAGTGAGGGGAGGCGCACCCTCACTCTCCTCGGTTGCAGAGCTCGTCGGAGGCTGCGTCACGACGGGAGGGTCGCGACAGCAGTCCTCGGGCGAGCCGACGCGCATGTCGAACCAGCGCTGGGACTCGTTGTGACGGCAGACGCCGGACCTGCCTCTCCAACCGCTTCTGCAGCGTCCTTCTTTGCCCGTGCATGGGCTCGATCCGATTCCGCAGCGTGTCGTCCCCAGCGGCGGTGCTGCGCGGGAGGCGGCCGCGGGCACGCTGGGCTCGATCAGCTTTCCCTAGCACGGATTTGGCGGACGTTCCTGGCTTCAATTTTACGAATGTCTTGGCACCAGCTGAAGGCTTGCCCCCGTCCACGGCCGACATCACATGGTTTCTGCACGGTATTCGGATTTTGCTATTTGTTCGTGTGGGGGTATGGCGACGCGGGCGCCTTGCGGGCAGAGCCCTTAACCACCCTTTATATCTTGCGCGTTCAAAATTCTTCTTGGAAAATTCTTCTTGGCCCAAAACGGCCGTCCCGTTCATGCCGCACAGCTCCGGCCCGTATCGTAGTATCGCACCTGCGCCATCGGCAGAGAGCTAGGACTGGTATCGCACCTGCGCCATCGGCAGAGTGCTAGGACTGGAGCGTCCGGCCGGTCACTCACCACAACAAACACCAAGGGCCACGCTCGGCCAGGTCATGGAGGAAGCCGCCATGTCTTCCGATGAGCATGAAGTCTTCCACGAGCGATATGCCGCATTCGGCCTGCAGTTCAAGCAGCTGTTTGCCGTGAAGGCCAAGCTGTCCTTCGCCAAGGCCAAGGCCGCGGCAGCGCAGAACCTTCGGTACACAGCCTACACGTCCGATGTCGGAGAAGCATTCCGGCCAGTCGTGCCAACCTGGGCGGTCAGAGGGACCTACGGGCTAGCGATCTCGTACATCTTTGGCGAAATCGGCCTGACGACCTACCGCGAGCACGAGGCAGGCGGGGATGCGGCTCGAGCCTTTGCGCACGCGGCGCTCTTCCAAGGCATGGCATCGCTCGCGCTCCCGATGGTGATCATACATCAGACGGTCCACGCGGCGCAGGCCGTGACCAAGCGAATCGGGCGCTTCACCAAGTGGGGCCCGACCATCGCTGGCCTCGCGCTGATCCCCGCTCTGCCATACGCGATCGACGAGCCCTGCGAGATTGCAATCGACAACATCTTTGAGCAGATCTGGCCCGCAGCGGAGGCGGAGGCGGAGAGGCGGAGCCGGTTGGGGAAGAGGCAGTCGTCCCTCTCGTACGTTTTGCAGGCGGTTGGGGCGGATGGGGGAGGTGACATTACGGGCGGTACGGGCTCGGCGGGAGTCGAGGGTGGCGGGAGAGGACCGCAGCAGGGCGAGTAGGCTGCACGCTCGAGGGTATGGTGCGTGAAGACTGCGGTCAGTACCATTGCAAGGGGTTAGTGCCAGCATCGTAAAATTCTTTATTTCAAGGCGTTGCTGCGTCGATTTCTTTTGCAGTGCCACAGGACCAGGGGGCGGGCGGGGCGGCCGTTGATAGGCCGGCGGAGGCGGCGCGGTCGAGCCACGAGCGGGCGCGCGGGCGTGAGGGCCGGGCGCGAGGCGGGTTTGACGAGCGGGGCAGCGGGCGGGGTGGCCGCTTTCGTGGGCACGCATGGGGGAGGCGGCGCGGGCCGCGGCAGGAATCGGGGGCTGGGGAATCGGGGGCTGGGGAAAACGGTCAACCTCTGAGAGAGACGAGATCCACCTCTGCGGGATGCACAGAGGGGCCGCGACTTATGGACGGGGCTGCGAGGTTTATTTCAGTATACTACGACGAGCGCTGGGGTGCGTCACACCTTCTTGTACGGTGGTTTTGGTATTTGGACGGTACTGCATGTGGCTCTGGCAAATTCACAGTGGCGCGCCAGCGGGTGGAGAGGTTCAGGTGTGTGCGCACGGGAGAGGTACAGGTACAGGTACAGGTGCACGGCTGGCAAGTGTGTCAAGTGAGCGGCGCATCGGCGGGCGTCATCGCTGCGCTACGTTTGCGGCGACGAGCTGGCGCAGGACGGCGCGGAAGACATGCGCATTGTCGCTCGCGTATGCCTCGGTGGCGGCCGGTTCGCCCGATGGGCCTTGCTGGTCGAGGTTGACGAGGAGCACCTAGAGGCAGGAGGTCGCCGGCGTATGGCGAGCGCACGGCGGAGGAGGGCGGCGGGCGTGCGGCCGTGCGGCGCACCGCCACGGGCGAGGAAGTGTCTAGGAAGTGTCTAGGAAGTGTCTAGGAAGTGTCTAGGAAGTGTCTAGGAAGTGTCTAGGGAGGGCACCGCCACGAGCGGCCGCGCGCCAGTCGCGGCGCAGCCAGGCAGCACGATGGCGAAGGAGCCGTTGGCAGCGAAGTGTCCCCAAGACTGCTCGGCGCCGTCCGCAGCCGCAAGCGCGACGCCTGCCCTCTCGGCGATGCCGAGCTGCACGCCCAGCCCAAATTCGGCGTCGTCGAACAAGCGATGCATCTTTGTCTGCCGGCCTGTTCCGGCCGCCGGCGCGGTGCGCCGCGATCGAAGGCAGTCGGCGAGCGCACGCTGCGAGATGACGCGGCCGGTCGCTAGGGCACGCAGCGCCTCGGCCGTGTCGCGCGCGCTCGCGTAGGCCTGGCAGCCAGGCATGAGTGTCTAGGAAGTGTCTAGGAAGTGTCTGGGAAGTGCCTAGGAAGCGTAGGCCTGGCAGCCGGGCATGGCGGAGGCGCGCGCGATGGAGGAGCGGAGGGCGGAGGGCTCGATCCAGTTGAGCCGCCGGAAAGTGCTCTTCATCATCGTCGCCTTGGCCCTCTCCACCTCGCTCGCGCTCTCGGAGCTGCCCCTGGTGATGACCCCGAGGAAGTCTGTGAGCTCGAGCATGTCCGCCTGTTCACAGCTGGCGGCGTGAACAAGCGCTGGTCACAGCATGGCGCCGTAGAGCTGCAGCATGTCCGCCGCGAAGTCGGCGATGGTTGGGTTTCGCATCTTCGGCCACACCTCGGCCACCTCGTCGCCCTCGGGCGCGGTGAGGGAAAGGGCGCCGCCCCGGCCGGGGAGCGCCGCCTCCGCCATCGCGCTCCACGCGCGCCGCATGCTCGACCCACCGGAGCGGCACGCGTGCGCGACGAGCTGGCCGTACGCGATCGGCGTGTAGTACTGACACGTGCCCGGCGCCAGCAGCGGCGGCTCGGCCGCCACCGCGGCGGGCGTGCGCTCCTCGTCGCACAGCTCGGCGAACGTGCCGACGCAGTCGGGCACCAAGGTCCAGTGCCCGCTCGTGTGAGACAGAACCTGCTCGAGACTCGCGCGAGAGGGGCCAATCTCGCTTGCGAGCGACAAGCCGACCGTGCCGCCGCCGCCGCCGCCGCCGCCGCCGACCGTGCCGCCCCCGCCGCCGCCGCCGCCGCCGCCCTCCTCGATGAGTCGCAGCACGGCCGCCGCGACGAAGAGCTTCGAGATGTCGCGCAAGTTGAAGGCCGTCTGGCTCGTCACCGCGTGCGGCGTGAGGTACGAGGTGTGGCCGATCCTACGGGGAAGGCTCCGAGAAGGCTCCTGGAAGGCTCCCAGAAGGTGCGTGAGGTACGAGGTGTGGCCGAGCCCGATATCGGCGATCACGCCGCCGCTCGACGCGTCGAGCACGCAGAGCTGCGCGCCGAGCAGCCGCCCCTCGGCGTGCAGCGCGAGCAGCGAAGCCTCGGCCGAGGCGGCGAGCGAGCCGGGCGGAGGGCGCGGCGCGGCGGGCGGCAGCGGCGGTGCGAGGACGAAGCGAGGCGGGCCGTGCAGCTGCTCGCGCAGCTCGGCGGCGACGTCGAAGGGGGAGGCAGCGAGCAGCGCCGCGTAGCCCGACGAGATGAGGCGCTGCAGCAGCGGCAGCGAGACGTCGAGCGACGACGCAACCTCGAAGAGCAAGTTGACCGTCTTTGTGAACGGGAGCAGCGCCCCGCGGCAGATCTCCTCCACGCCGCCGGAGATCTGGACGTCGGCGTCGGCGCCGCCCTTGACCTGGCGCAAGATGGCCTCGAGCTGCTCGAAGTCTCCGCGCGCCTGCGCCGCCTGCTTTGTGTCGCGCAGCAAGAAGCGCAGCGTGCCCACCATGGTGTTCGGCATCGGGTCGGGCGGGCCTGCAAAGTCGCTCTGCGGCGCCCCGAGGTCGGCGCACGCCTGATAGAGACGAGCGGGAGAGTGGGAGATGTGGGGGAGATATGGGGAGATACGGGGGAGATGCCGAGGTCGGCGCACGCCTCGCGCATCAGCAGCGTGTCCTCCATCGCCACCGCCATGAAGAGGCGCGTGTACGCGGTTCGCTCAGCCGGCGAGAGGCGGCGCGCCTGCCCCCAGTCCAGCACGGCGAGCCGCCCCGTGGCTGTCTCGACGAGGAGGTTGCCTGGGTGGGGGTCGCAGTTGAAGATCTCGCCGTGCATGGTCAGCGAGAAGGCGTCGACGAGCGCCGTCACGATCCGCGTCACCTCGAGCTCGCTCGCGCCGCGGCGGCGCACCTCCTTGATGTTCTCGCCCTGCACGTACTCCATGCCGAGCACGCGCCTCGTCGCCAGCGCGGGGAAGACCTCGGGCACAAAGACGGCGCCGCCCAGCTCCGACGCGGCGAGCAGCTCGCGCGCGGTCGCCTGGCTCTGCGCTTCGATCCGAAAGTCGAGCTCCGCGCGCGTCAGGACAGACAAGTCCTTGACGACGACTCGCATGTCCTGGAACAGGTGCGGGAAAGCAAACGAGGCGAGCAGCGCCACGATCTGCGACGCGCCGATGTCGATCAGCAGCGAGCGCTCCACATGCCGGTGCTGCACCTGTACATTGTGGTGTGGGGGAGCATGCTGAGTCTCATTCCTACTGAGCGCTCCACATGCCGGTGCCGGTGCTGCACCTTGACCACTCCCTCAACCTCCTCCACCCGCCCGCCCTCGCGCACCACACGCAGCCGCGCGCGGTGCACCTGCGCGATGGTGGCAGAGCCGAGCGGCGGGCCGTCGTACAGCTTGACCGACGAGCGCCACTCCGGCCCAAGCTCCGCCTACGAGCGTCCCTCACCTCCCATGTGTGATCCCACTCAGCTGTGGCCGGTCGGCGTCGCTGCTCCGCCTCGAGCAGCCGGTGCACGGAGGGCAAGTCGTCGGCGGGCATCGCGTCCTGCAGCTGCGCGAGCTCGAGCTTGTACACCTCGGGCAGCGCCGACGAGACGGAGGTGGCCTGCGCCAGCTTGACCCAAAAGCCGCCGAGCGACGCGACCGTGTCGTACACGAAGCGAGCGTTGACGCGGTGGGTCATCTCCCAGAGGGCGTCGGCCGCGGCGGCGCTGCGCCCGCGCACGGCGAGCGACGCGCACCCCACGCGCCACGACACCACCGCGCACAGCCACACGATGCGGTAGTACCGCAGCACAAACGGGCGCAGCGGCACCAAGCCGGCGGCGGTGGCGGCGACGGCGGCGCGGCCGCGCCAGCCGGCGGCGTGGACAAAGGCGGTGGCGAGGAGGAGGAGGGTGAGGCCGATCGAGGCGGCGCGGAGGCCGTACCAGCACAGCGCCAGCCGATGTAGCGCGTCCTCAATGTACACCTCGAGCAGAGCCGCGTGAGACATGCCGCCGCCGCCGCCGCCACCGCCGGGGCCGTGGGAGTCAGCGACGGGGGGCGTCAAGCCGCCGCCGCCGCCCGCGAAGGGGCTTGGAGAGGTGGACGGCGTTGACGGCCCCGACGCCGACGCCGAGAGCGGGGAGGAGTGCGCCGACGGCGGCGGCTGCTGCCGGGCGAGGCTGAGATTGACGCGAGGCGGTCCGCGCGCGACGCACCGCTCGCAGGTGCGCTGGGAGCGGCCGGTGGAGCCGTCGAGGCGCTTGGGCGCGCAGCGGGCGCAGCAGACCTCGCCGCACACGCGGCAGTGGTGCCTTCGCCGCGACAGCTTGAACCGGCGCGCGCAGCACATGCACGCGGCCGCCTCTGCGTCGGCGACCCAGCGGACGACGGGAGGCGCTCCCGCCCCAAAGGCGACGTCCGCGAGGAGGGGGTGCAGGGCGGCGGCGTGCGGAGCGAGCTCCTCGCCCAGCCTCTGCACCGCCTCGAGCTCGCCCGCCACAGACATCTGCCCGCGAGCCATCAGCACCATCGCCGCAACTTGGCCCTCGGAAGCGAGGCGCCGCAGCGCCTCTGAGGACGCGAACCGCACGCGCGTGCGAGCGTCGGCACCGGAGCCAGGATCGACGACTGCCACGCTGATGGGCCCGCCAGCGCCGCCCGTGGCGCGAAACGCGCGCTCGGCCACGCAAAAGAAGATGTCTGTGGCCGTGCAGCACGGCAGAGCACTCAGCGAGGTGTTGAGTGCTTCGAGAGCAAGCGGCGAGACGGCTGCGCTGGTGTCAGTGCTGGCGGGGCTGGGTACGTCTGTGGGCCGGGTGCCGAGCGCTCGCGTTGGGGTGCGGCCCAATATGAAGCCCATGAAGGAGATAGAACCGGTCGGCCACCCTTGGGGGACGGAAGAAATGTTCCGATCACCGGGTATGCTTACTGACATCCTTTGACAGTTGCGACGTGTGAAGGTTACGTGCGTTTGCAACGGCTGCGCCGTTGGCAAGGGGGGATGCGTTTCGCTTCTGCTTGGTCCTCGGTCGCCGATTTTAGGCCTCGGAAGTGCAACGGACGGCCGCTGTAGTCTCGCGGCATGATGGATGGTTGGTCCGAGTTTGCCCAGGAAGTTTAATTCCCACACACAGGCGGCGGCATCGGGCTGCGGGCTAGAGAGCCCTGGCCCTGGGTGGGGGGTGCGCGGTCAGCCAGGGCCATAACACGGGAGTCTCCGAAAAATAAAATATTCTTACCTTCAAGCCCCCCTCCGAGACTAGGGACAGAACCCACCCGTACACAGGAGAGATGGGACTGCGCCTCGCCCCCACTTGCCCTGACTGCACAGGATTGCGTGCCCCGAAGACGGCGACACATAGCGGGGGACACTACGCAAGGAGAGGGTGCGAAGCCAAGGTTGGGGTTCTAGGTGGTGGGACCAATGAGGGGGGGGGGGCGGGGTCCTGTGGGGGTGAAATGTTGCGCGGCGAATTCGACCCTACCCCCTCGCCGCGCCGATCCTCACGCGGAGGGTAAAAGGGTAAAACCCTGTGGGAGAAAACCCCTCCGCGGTCGGCAGTCTTCAGAGTGGACCCCCCCCCTCCCCAGCCTCCCCTGTTCGTTTTTCGCACCCCCCCCCCGGCTCCCCATCGGTGACTCGCGAAGGACACGGACACTCGGGGTGGGGGGGGAGGGGTCCCCCAGAGAGGCGGCTTTGGGGCCTTGTTGGGTCGATCTCTCCCCCAGAGGGGCCTTGTTGGGTCGATCTCGGGTCGATCTCGGGTCGATCTCGGGTCGATCTCGGGTCGATCTCGGCCACCGCGGTCGAGTAGCCTAGGTGAGGAGGATGAGGCGAGATGAGGCGAGATGAGGCGAGATGAGGCGAGATGAGGCGAGAAGAGGCGAGAAGAGGCGATATGAGGCGAGATTAGGCGATATGAGGCGAGATTTGGCGAGGTGCAGCGAGATATCGCGAGATGCAGCCAGCTCATGCCTGGGGGAAGTCAGCATAATGCCTGGAGGGATTCGGCTTGGTGCCTGGAGGGAGCCAGCTTGATGCCTGGAGGGAGCCAGCTTGATGCCTGGAGATGCCTGGAGGGAGTCCGCCGCTTGGTGCCTTGAGGGGTCAGTTTCTGGATCCGTTGGTTCCTCTCGGCGACGCCCAATGCGTGCGCCGGCGTGGGGAGTGTGCGCGCGCGTGTGAGATGTGGATTGTGGCAGGCCTGCTGCTGCTGCTGTGGGCAAGTGTGCTCTGTGTGCGGCGCTGCGCTCGCGTGCGGTGCGCGCGTGCTGTGCGCGTGTGCGTGTTGGAGTCGCGCGTGAGTCTGCGTGTGCTGCGCGCGCGCCGGCGTGTGCTGTGCGCTGTGCTCTGTAGTGCGCCCTGTTTGTGTAGCTGTGAGGCGCAGCCTTGGCTGGCAGGGCTGCGCGGTGGGCTACGGCGTGCTGCGGGTGGTCGTGCGCATGCCTGATGGTGTGCGGCGGCCGCGCAGCCCGCTCGACCGGGCCGTCGGCGGCCCAGGGAGCGAGTATGCCAATGTGCGCTGCATGTGAGGCTTCTGCGCGGCTGGCGCGTATGTTTCCGTGCGGAGAGGGACGCGCGTATGTGTTCACGCTGCGGGCGCGGGCGGGCGCGGAGGGCGGCGCGGTCTCACCGCGGTCCGACGCCCGTTGGTCTTCGGCGTGACGAGGGCGGGCACGCAAGAGGCCTTGCCGCCATCGCGTTGCCGCGAAGGAAAAAGAAGTCTCGTGTACGGTGTCGGAGGCTACCCCTTAACTGCAGAATGCACCCTCTTCCTTGACCGTGGGGGGGGTGCACGGTCGCAGGGCCATATAACACGGGTCTCCGAGGGTTGGTTCTGCGCTTTGCCTTTGGGGTTCCCCTAGCTGCGGAACGCCCCCTCTACTGAGCCACACGAGAATCATACGCACCGCCCCCACGCAAATCGCAATACGGTAACAATACGTGTACTCGACGATAGGACGAGAATACGCACCCTCCAGACGCCTATAAAGAAAGCGGCGGGGGGGCGGGGGGGGGCGGTTTCCTCGGAACTTTGAAAGTCCCAAGCGTCCTTTGAAAAACTTCGCGGACATCTATGCCACACGCTATCCCGACGGTCCACAACCCACACTCTCGCTGCAGTCGATCCAGCCCTCGCACTCCCCACTGGAGATCTAGCCGAGGCCCCCAGGCTGGGACAGGATTGGAGCCCCTGTGCTGCGTCTGTGGTGATATGTGGGGGACACTTTCTCCTCTCTATTCATTTGAGTCACTCGACTGCGTCGAGGGGGGGGACGTCTGAACCACAGCGTGTCCCGCTCCGTAGTTTCTCTTCTTATCCGTTACCATGTAGAGCAAGGTCGAGGGCGGGCCCTTTCGGGCTCGGGCCGCCCTCTCGCCCGCACCTCTGCGGGGCTTGCACGGTGGGCACCGCGAGCGGCGCGCGGCGGTCTCGCGCGGGCCGTGTATACGCGGCGCGCTCACCAGTGTGAAAGATCGCGCTCTAGGCGGGCACCAACACTAGCAGCCTCTCTCACCACACTGCACGACAAGGGCGCGGACTGGCGCGGACTGGCACACACCGGCACACCAAAAACAAGAAAAAAAATCCGCCCGCCCTCCCATGCGGCGCTTCTTGCAGTCCGCCACGCCAGCCTCCTCGTCGAAGCGGCAGGCACTCGACCGTCCAGCTCAGCCGTGGGCGTGCGCGGTTTGCACATTCTTGCACAAGGGCGTCAGAGCCGAGCTCTTGTGGTGCGAGATGTGCGAGACAGCACGGCCAGCACCAGCGGCGGCAACAGAAGCGACAGCACCAGCGGCGGCAACAGAAGCGACAGCACCAGCGGCGGCAACAGAAGCGACACCAGCACCAGCACCAGCACCAGCACCAGCGGCAGCGGCAGCGGCAGCGGCACAGCCTGGACCCGTGCCTTCCCCTCCCACGCCAGCGACGGCGCCGCAGCCTCCAGCGGCAAGGGTGACTGGCAGCAACGCCTTCAGCGCTCTGATGCAGGGTGCGCGGCAGGCGGCTCGGGTGCTGCACTGCACGCTGCTTCCGGCGAAGGGCGAGCTCGGCTGGCGGGTGTCCTGGGCGACGTCAAACCCGGGCGCTGAAGCGGGCTGGTCGGAGGAGCTGACGCTGCGCTTCGGCGCGGGGGCGGCGTCGGCGCGCGTCCGGCTGCACGCGCCGCCGCTGAGCCAAACACGCCCGCCGCCGCCGCCGCTCCTGCTGCCGGGTGCGGCGGCGAGTGCGCCGATCTCGCCGCTGCTCAGCCTCCTCAAGTCCGCGCTGCAGAAGAGCGTCCGGCGCGGGCTGGTGGCGGAGGCGGTGGCGCTCGCGGCGGCGCTGCTGAGTGTGGCGGACGAGCACGGGCAGCGGGTGGGCGAGGGGGAGCTGCTGCGCCGGCTGCCGATCATATTTGTGGAGGACGTGCCAGCACGCCCTCCTGGAACCTTCTAGGAACCGTCCAGGAACCTTCTAGGACCCTTCCCTGTAGGACGCGCTGCCGCACGCGGGCTATCTGCCGCCGCTCTGCTGGCTGATGGCGGCGCACCCCAAGGGCCGCGACCACTCGCGAGTGGCCCGCCGTCCGCTGGAGTGAGCAGCGCCTCTTCACAGGGGGATGGCCGTGAACAGGCTACCCCCTCGACGCGTCGCACCACCGCCTGATCCTCGACGCCGTCGCCACCGTCGCGAGCGCGCGGTGGCGCGAGGTGTGGCCCGCGCCAGAGGGCGGCGGCAAGCCGGCGCCGCCCGCCTCTATGCTCGCGGACTTGGCCGACCACGCGTCGGCGTTCGGCGCCACGCCGTTTGCCGCCGCGGTGCCGCCGCCCGCGCTGCCCGCGACCGCCGCGGGCGACGGCGAGGTCGACGGCGTGGTCGGCGCGCTGCTGCTCCGCGCCGCGTTCGGAGGGATGGCGGGCGACATCGAGATGCTGCACGCGGCGGCGCGCGGTTGGGCGGAGCGTTCGGCGGAGGAGCGCGTGCGAGGGCGGCACGTTTGCGGCGCGAGTTGGGCGTGCAAGCTCGCGCGCGCGTACCTGCCCGCGGCGGACGCGCCGTCGCCGCGCGAGGCGCCGGCGACGCTGCCCAGCAGCCGCGCGGCGCTGGTGGCGCGGCTGTCGACGGCGGTGCCTGCGAGCGCAGTCGACTTTCACATCTCCAACGTGCTCGACGGAGCGCTGGCACAGCCAGAGGTGCGCCACGCCGCGCAGGATGCGGCCTCATATCTCGGGTAATCTCGGGTGATCTCGGGTAATCTTAGGTGCGCCGCGCCGCGCAGGAGGCGGCGGGCGGCGCGGCGGGCGACGCGCTCAGCGGCCTCTGCAAGCAGGCGATGTGGCAGTGCTCCTCGTCAGTCACCAACAAGCACTTGTGGGAGCGCGGCGAGCGCGAGACGGCACACGGCCCCGCGGCGACGGCCGGCGCGCAGCTGCGAGCCACGCCGCCGCGGCTGCAGCTGCTCTGGGCGGCACTCTCGCCCGCGTGTGGGCGCTTCGCGGCGGAGCATGTCCAGCGGCATGTGGGACCGCGCTCCGCCTTGCGCGCCGCCGCTGCCTCTGCCGACGCCGACGCCGCCTCACCCGCAACCGCTGACGTGGCCGGCGCCGCGGCGGTCCGCGATGCGCCCGCGAGCCTGCAGGCGCTGGGCCCCTGCCAGCGCTCGGTGGGCCGGGGATCGGAGTCCGCCGTCGTGAACGCCGCCGCCGGCGGGCGTTGCGAGGTGCGCGCTCACGCGGTTCTGCGCGGCTTGTTCTTGGTGCACGATTTTGTGACCGAGGAGGAGGAGGCGGCGTTGCTGCAGTGGATGGATGGCCAGCAGCCGGGGTGGAGGCTGCGCCACTTCAACGGCCCGGCGCTCGGCATGCGATGGGGAGCGACGACGGACCTCCGGCGGCGCTCGGTCACGCTGGGGGCGCCGATGCCGCCGCCGCTGCTCGCGCTGACCGCCCGGATGCGCACGCTTCCGGTGCCGTCGCCACTGGCGGGCTTCGAGGCGAACGAGGCGAACGCGCTCAGGTACGTGCGTGCGGAGGGCCATTTCCTCGGCCCGCACTGCGACGACCGGCAGCTCTCCGGCGACACGCTCGTCAACCTCTCCCTCGCCGGCGAGGCGACGATGACCTATGCACACGACCGCGACGGCAGCCGCCCGCCGGTGCGCGTGCGGCTGCCGCGGCGCTCGCTGCAGATCCAGACGGAGGACGTGCGCTTCAACCACACGCATGGTATCGCCGCCGAGGATTTGCCAGAGCTGCGTGTGTCGGTCACCTTTCGGAGGGCCAAGTTGACCCAGTGAGGGACGGGCCCAGCCAGGTGCCAGCCGCCAGCTGGTGGAGACGTAAGGTAACATTTCGTAACAGTATAAGGTACGTCAGTAATAAATAACCTGCACACAAGGGTCGAAAGGTAGCCCCCCCCGCACTGGCATGGTGGCAATTAAAGTGCAGTGTGTGCAGTGCGGTGTGTGTGTGTGTGCCGGATAGCGCCCCGCTTTAGCGCAGCTCGGGTTCTTTACAGGTGTAGCGACTATAGTGTCAGAGTCATTGAGTGTGTGCGTGTGTGGTGTGTGCACCACTGCCCGTTCTCACCTATGCAGACGCTGTGCCACCGCTCCCCCCGCCAAACGCCACCAATCCATCCACAACAGCGCCAGCAGTCGTGGAACCGCAATCCCCACGATCGCCCTCCCTCGCCTGATGGCACAGTTTACTATGATACCCGACCCCCCCTTCCCACACTCTTGCCATGGTCCATGGAATATGCCGGACACGATCCAGCAGTTTGACTGCCACCACCTCACCAAATAACTCCCCCCCCCCCCCCCTCCTTGTGAGCACGAACCATCCCCCACAATCTCCCCCTCACGCCCCACTTTTGCCCCTGCCCTCCCTTGCGCCCCACCCAACAACACCCAATCCCCACACACATTCACATTTGCATTTAGCGGCCCGTGCACTGTGATGTGAGGCTTCACTGTAAATTAATAACAGCTGGATAAGGCTTCGGCCACCGAGGCTTCGGCCACCGAGGCTTCGGCCACCGAGGCTTCGGCCAACGAGGCTTCGGCCAACGCTGGGCCAACGAGGCTTCGGCCAACGGAAAAAAAACTCCCACCCTCGCCCTCCGCCGCCCGCCCTTGCCTCCGCCCAGCCCTCCGCCCTCCGCCCTCGCCCTCCGCCCTTGCCCTGGCCGGCCTGGGTGGCATCTCTTCATCTTCACGCGCCAAGTGGGAGGGAAGTGGACGGGGCCCTGAGCCGACCTAGCCGCCAAACGGAATGGGGCGCCAAAGCAACCCCTGCCTAGACGAGTACAGCTAAAGAGTACCCGGGGCTCCCCATGCGGGAGAGGGGGCCCGTGAACATCTTCAGCTTGTGAGCCAGGAAAAGGGTTGGCGCCAATCACGTGCCGGATTACCGTGACCCTTGCACGCCGGGCACGGCCTTTCGGTTCGTGAAGGGTCGGTGCGAGTCGTGACACCCTGAAACACACGACCCAGGCCATCTCCGTCCCTTGTTCGGCTGCGGCCTTACACCACCATGATCGGGAGGCGGCCAGGGATGCAGGGATCACAGACTCGATCGAAAAGATCCCATCCCGGGCTGGATACGACTTGTCGATCCACCTCCCGGGAGGCTCTGGACAGGGTGGCCCGCCACAACGACCCCTGGAATTGCGACTCGCCGCTTTTCTCCCACTGTGAACAACCAACCTCAACCTCTCACTCACAGACCAGCGCACAGCGCCATAGGACTATTTTCTTCTCAATAACAAGGCTGTGAATTTGCGTGAGCTCTGTGTCCTGATTTGCCAACAACATACCTATCTCTCGAGGTCTCGAGACAAAATACGATTACCTGCCTTGAGACATCCCGTTTGCTTTTTGAGCGACGCTGTGGCACGCCTGCGCAGGGGCCGCAGGGCGGTCAGTTGTGGGGCGAGGCGGTGCCGGCTGCGGGCCGGGTGCAAGGCGCCGGCCTCGGCGCCGCCTCGGCGCGCCGCACGGGCGCGGCGAGCCTCTGAGCGGGAGCCGAAGGTTTGCTACGGTGGTGGTAGGCGGTGGGGTGATCTGACTTTGCCGCAGAGGCCGTCCCTACTGTGAACAGCAAAACGGGACACCTTGCCTTCCGACATGGCCTGAGACATGGCCGCCCCCGCCCCCGAAAGCACGATCGCTAGCGGCTGGTTGAGCAAGCGGAGTTCGCAGAGCCGGCGGACACCGTT